TCTATTGAATGCTTTATATCATGTTTACACTACTCTGCTCCACTTTAAATAAATTGCTGTCATAAATTTTAATAATAAAGAAAAATATATTATTCAAATTTATAACAGCAATTTGTATTTTGATTTAAATTCCTTTTTCGATTTTAATTCCGAATACACAAAACCCATTTTTTTTCATTTTTCTTTGTGATGTACTGAGCTTTCTCTATATAATTTTTGGTTTGTTTTCCCCGCTCCCACCCCTTGTGAATTGTAAAAAAAAATTTTTTTGGGTTTTATCTTTTAGGTTGCCGGTCCTAACATGGTTTATTTTTCTTGATTTTTGGTATTTCGGATTTATCAAAAACTGATTTCTTGCAAATATAGGTGGTACTGGTGGCCTAAGCACTTTATATATTTTACTTTTGTATGGTGTGGTATTTTGGGTTTGACTCTTTGGTTTTTCTTATTCTTGTTCTTTTGTTGGCTCCCTGTAAAGTGATTATGATTTAAGAAAAAAAAGATACGAGAAGATGGATTACTCTCTGGTATATACATAAAACTGTGTGACACACATTCAATTAAAAAATTTTATTATTTTGAATTAATCCGAAAAAAACTGACAGCAAAAAAGAGTTTTAAAAATCGTTATTTATTTTTTTTTAATAAAAATGAAAATCACAACATCAAATAACACGATGTGTGACCAGACCCCATAACTTATTCACTAATAAAAGTGAGGTATCCACCACGAAACAGGTTTATTAAATAAAACCAAAATACAACCTTGTTTTATAACGAGTTTTATGTATATGCCACAATAGTAGTACGGTTACTAGTGGGTAAATTATTGTTAAAAATTTTGAACCCGCCAGAACCTTTCCTACTTTTCCATAACCACCACCAAAAAAATGCCAGAAAAAGTAACGTTTCGTTTTGTGACAATAACATAAGTTTCATTTTGGTTTTGTAAAACAACTGACAAGTTTTAGAAATTTTTGGTAAGTAATTTTATATTTTATTTTATAAATTTTTTTATTTCCGTAATACAAAAAAAAATTGTCGAAAATAAATTCAAAATTCGTTTATTTTAATTTCATTAAAATTGTATGCTGCTGTTTATATGTTTGTGACATTAAAAAACCTATTTTTTAATGTATTTATTGTCGTGTTGTTTCAAAAGAAAAAAAAACGAACATACACATACATTTATTATAAGTTTTTTCGGTAAGTAAATAATTGCATTGGTTTACAAGTGAGAAAATAGTCAGAAAATACCAGGATAGACATGGTCATATTTTCAATGAGACTAGGCCAACCAACTATGTTTATGTTTACATACTATTAATTCAAAATAAAAATTATTTTGACAAAGGAATCAGCTGATCTTCTTACATCATGACAGTTATACAATCAAAATTTAGTAAAGGTAATCTCATGACAAAAAAATCACGGTTACATCAATGTGATTATCTATGTCATATTTTAATTATACTGTTAATCAGCTGATTAAGTCCTTGTGCTGTCAATGCAATATTTCTATTCTGAATTAATCATATGAAAATGTAAATAATAAAATATTTGCAGTAATAGTTTTGGTAGTTGGTTTAATTTTGCCTTAATCATTCACAATTGAAACCTGATATTTAACTTGGACAGGTTTTTTGTAAACATCCATTGTGAAAACTTAAACAAAGTTAAAATTGTTGACATTAAACTTGAAAAAAGGTGACCTTTGCTTGTCGGATGACCTCTTTGAACCTGGCCTCTTTGCTTGTCGGATGACCTCTTTGAACCTAGCCGAAGCAAAGACATTTTATCTCAAACTCCTTGTAAACTAAAGCTTCTTTATATATAATTTTTATATTTTTTTATCTTATCGAACCCTCTCATATATTTAAAAACAAATCTAGCAAGCACAATTTGGTATCAGCAAAACAAATTGTTCGTAACGTTTTTATAATTGAACATTTCTTCTTGTTTTTCTTTCAGTGTACTATAATTACTTAAGTTGATTTTTATTATTACATATATAGAGAATAATAATCTTAATTTTTTTAGTTATTTATTTGTAAGACAAACAAACAAAAAACCTATGAACAACAAGAAAAAAAATGTAATGCTATTAAAAATATAGGAGACAAAAATTTAATTTGTATATTATTAGTTTTGTTTCAATTTTTAAAGCTGCATGGCAATATATCAAATTCAACTGGCAAAAATAAATGGTATGTTATTGTACTGCAATAATCTACTACTTTTTACTACGAATTATCCTTTATGATATCATAGAAAATAGTAAAATCTAGTTGATTCTTGCAGTACGGAAACAGATCTTTCCCCTTATAAATTCCCCCTTTACAAGTTAAAAAATAATAATTACGGGAACACAACAAATAATTCTGAAATTAATACATTTTATATTTGAACTAAAAAATATATATTTTTCAATTAACGTACACTAATTTGATATGTTGTCAAGCCACCTAAATAAGTAAATATTTTTTTTTTCATATCGTGCTACACAAATTTTTAATAAAATGTCTATTGTATTTTATTTGTCATGTTTTCATGAAATAAACATGTGACAAATAAAATAGATAGATTAAATTATTCACATGTTCATATCGATTTAAACAGTTTAATTTTTTTTTTTATGTCGTAATTGCCAAGTGTAAATGTAGTTTAACTGATTTTTTTTATTAATTAAAATAGGGAAATTATTGTAATATTTGCTTACAAAAAAAAAAATAGCTTCATTTGTAAAGTATTTTTTTTATTATTAAAAATCAAGTCAGTTTTTCAGTTTTATAATTTTTTTCCAATTTATGAAAAAATTATAATAATGCAACCAATAGGCTACAGAAATATTTTATTAAAAATGAGAATTTTTTTTTTTATAATTTATTTCCAATTTAAAAGTTTTTTCAAGTACATAATATTAATTAAAATTATTATGTTTTTTTTTTAATACGATTTTCCCAATATAAAAGAATAATACTTTATAAAATTTTGTTCAATTAATCCAATTTTAGAGATATTATATAATGATAGAATGAAAAAAGACAATGAAACTGTTAAAATAACAGCCAATAAGGTTATGTTTACATCTATTGGCCTTGAAATAAAGAGGTCTACACACTATCAGTTTGGATTATCAATTTTATTTATTTATTTGATTGACTACTTTATCATAGCTGAGATGATCTTTAAAAAAACATCTTATTTTAAAAATTTATACCGATAACTCTAGAAGTTATGGCCGCTAGAAGTTGATAAACCAAAAAATTTCGAAAATTTAAAATTTCCTACAATAAATATTTTTTGCTATAGCTCGAATATTTAATTGACTATTTTAATAATATTGACATACATTGTATCAGATATTTTCTTCTTTCAATAACAGCTTATTTTATATATATATATATATGCGCCGATTATTTCAGAAGTTATTGTCGCCAGAAGTTGATAACGCAAAAAATTCCAAAAATTGAAAATTTCGAAGAAAAAAATATTTTTGGCTATAGCTCCGGTATTTGACTATTTTAATAAAATTGACATTCATCATAGCTGAGACGTTCTTCTTTTAAAATCATATTATTTTATAAATTTATATCCTTTACTTCAGAAGTTATGGTACCCAGAAGTTTATTACGCCGAAATCCCGAACATTTTAAATTTCATAGAAATAAATATTTTTGGCTATAGATCGGTTATTTCATTGACTATGTTAATAAAATTGACACATAACATAGCTGAGATGTTATTCTTTCTAAAATCAGCTTCATTTATAAGTTTACAACGATTACTACAGAAGTTATGGGCCCTAGAAATTGATTACGCCAAAATTTTCGAAAATTGAAAAAATCATACACATAAATATTTTTGCCTATAGCTCCGGTATTAGCTTGACTATTTTAATAAAAATTACACCTAACATAGCTGAGATGTTTTTACGCAAGAAGACAAGACCTTTTTTTATTTTAAAACATGTTGGTTTAATTTCAATCATCTGTTTTTTGGTTAGACCAGTTTCATGTAAACATAACTTTGCTGTTTGACGGATCGGATCATGATCTATTAATAAGTTCACTCAGTAAACGAAAGTCTGCTGTTGTTTGTTTTTCTCAAGTCTATGTCAACACATTAGACATTGTTTACGTTTTCATAATGAAGAAACAATTCACAATAATGGATTTTGACAGCAAACATGAGAAACAGCTGATATGCAGCAGCTGATCTTCCTGGATGATCTTATTAATAAGCCTTGGATATTCTTTTATTGGCAATTTAATTTTAAATTAAAAAAATTAAATCTTATTAGGATGTCTACAATTTTTTTAAATAATTTTTTGATTGATTTTTTATTGGCAAATGTCAACATTTTATTTAGTAATAATTTATATTTATTTATTATTTAATCAATTAAATTATTCTTCTTCTAATTTTCCACGTATTTCTTTTCTAATTTTAAATGTTTATTTTTAATTTTAAACATTAGTTTTCTATATATTAATTTTGTTTTATTTTATATTTCTAATTTATATGGAATAGTTTTTTTTATATTTTAAAAATGTGTTTATTTAAAATACTTTTTTATTATTTTTAATGTAAATAATTTATCAATAACTTTTTTTTGAAACTTTTCTACTATTTTTCACTTTGTTAATTTTTTTAATTTATCCATTTTGTTTTTAACTGATTTTCCATTTGCTGTTACTCTGTGTTCTAATAATTTTGATTCACGTTTTTTCCTAATTTTACAAAAAATTAAATATTGCTCAGAAGTAAAAAAAAAACAAAAACAATTAACTAGAATATAACCACACATTATAAGACTGAAAATCCCCCTTTAAAAAAAAAAATAGTTAAATTTTGTTTAAAACAAAAATAACAATTACTGTGATATTTTTATAACAAAAAAATATAAAAATAGGTTTTATATTTATATGAATAAATAATTTGTTATATATATTTTATAAAAAAATAAATGAAAAAATAAAAAACAACAACAAACTTACCAATTTGGTGATATATCATCCAAATGGGCATGTTTCCAAAAGTCTCTCAATTCTTCTAGCAAAAATGACACGGGCATACCATGAATATTGCCAGAGCTGCTGGTCGAATGCAGATTTATATCGGCGTGGGCATCTATCCAGACTAAGGACAAGTTTGGACTGTGTATTAAATGGCCGGCCACAGAACCTATGACAAACAAAAATTAATATTAGAAATCAAATCCGTGCAATAGAATCCAGTAAGTAATATGGAATTATTGAACCTACCAAAACCAATGGCATGATCACCACCCAAACACAGGAATTGATCCTGTTCCTTGAGGATTTCCGGGATTTTGCCAATCAACGTTTTATTACAGCTCATAAAGGTATTATAATTTTTCATATTTTTATAGTGTGGCGGAGTTTTCATCTCATCCATAAGTTCATAATTTAAATTGCCATAATCGGTAATCGATAAATTTCCTGAAAAGAAAAAAGAGAAAAATAAAAAAAAATAAAAAATTAAAAAATTGTGTTTTTCATTCATCCAGAAAGTTTTGGTAAGTTACCAACCTCTTGAAGTTTCCTGTAGCATGGCCAACAAACCATTTTGCCGTAGAAAATCTGGAGCCTCTTCCACACCACCTTTGGTTTGGCCTTTGGAAAATGGTACACCCAAAATACCCAATTTTGTTTTGTGTTTCCCAGCCACCGAGGAAGAAGAGAAACAGCGACGGATAATAGTTTTAAACATTGTTTTCGATTTTGTTTTCTTCAAGATTCCCAGTCTATAGCTTTACAGAGATCTTTAGCAAATAATAAAGCCAAGCAATAATCCGCAAGAAAAAAGTCCAGCCTCCGGTTTATTTAATGCAACTGATAATGAAAGCATGATGATGATAACCTTTTCAAAGACAGACAACAACAAATCTGAGCTTCTTCTTTTTTAGAGAGATTTTCCGTCTCTCTTTGTGGTATTCATTATCAATGAATTTGTTTTTAATAAAACAAAAAATATATTTTGAAAAACAAACTGAAACGTCATTATTTTATAGTAACAATAACAATAAGTTTGTAATTAAACCGGGCATGAATCATTTTACACCAGGGATTAAAACAAATTATCTAGCGGTAGTAATAGTATTTGAAGACATGATCAATTCATTGAAAAACAAAAACAATAATATATAGAAATATATTATTATAAATAACTCAAAATAAAGAATAGATATTCTTCTTTTAATTTCAGGTTCTTTCATCAATTTTTAGCCATTATTTCAGAAGTTATGGTCCCTAGAAGTTGATTACGCAAAAAATGCCGGAAACTGAAAATTTCATGGAAATAAATATTTTTGGCTATAGCTTGGGTATTTGGATAGCTACTTTTTTAAAACTTACATAAAATAATGTAGAGATGTTTTCTTTTTAAAATAAGTTAATTTTATTAATGTATCCCAACTACTTCTAAAGTTATGGCCCCCAGAAGTTGATTACACAAAAATTTTCGAAAACTAAAAATTTCATACAAATAAATATTTTTGGCTTTAGCTTGGGTATTTGTTTAAATATTTCAATAAAAAATGGCACATATCATAGCTGAGATGTTTTTCTTCTAAAATCCACTTATTTTATAAATTTGCACCGGCTACTTCGGAAGTTATGGTCGCCAAAGTTGATTACGCAAACAATTCGGAAAACTAAAAATTTTATACAAATAAATATTTTTAGCTATAGCTTGGGTATTTGAATAGCTAATTTTTAAAAACTAACATAAAATAATGTAGAGAAGTTTTTCTTTCAAGAAAAGTTGATTTTATTAATCTACCTCAACTACTTTAGGAGTTATGGCCTCCAGAAATGGAGTACGCAAAAAATTCGAAAAATTGGATAAAGTAAACATCAACATATTTTTGGTTATATCTCGAGAATTTGTTTAGGTACATTTATAAACTTACTTACACGAAACATAGCAGAGATGTTCTTCTTTTTATTTTATTAATCTACCCCAACTAATTGTGAAGTTATGGCCTCCAGAATTTAATTAGGCAAAAAAATTCCAAAAATCGGAAATTTTGTGCACACAAATATTTTTGTTGATATTTCGTTGATATTTTTGTTGATATTAGATTTACATAACTTACACAATGTAATACACAGATGTTTTCCTTTCAAAATAAATTTATTTTGTTAATCTAACTTGACTACTTTAGGAGTTATGGCCTCGAGAATTTCACTACACAAAAAATAACGAAAATTGGACAAATCAAATATCTAAACATTTTTAGCTGATATCTCGGGAATTTGTTTAGCTATGTTTATAAAACTTACACGAAACATAGCATAATTTTATTTTTTTTTTTAATCTACACCAACTAATTTAGAAGTAATGGCCTCCTGAAGTTATGGGCTCTGAAATGATGAAAAAAATTTCTATTTTTTTAATTCACAAAAATGTATTTTGTATATATAAATTATTTGTTTTATTTTCATATGAAATATAAATGTATTTGTTTTTATTACACATTGCCCTATGATATGGTTTTAGTTTGTGTTGAATTTATCTCATCTATAGTGGTCTCATTTGATATCGATTGCTGCTCAGCAGCTCCCTGTTTTTCTTGGCGATAATGTTCCCATTCATGATTTCTTAAATCTGCTTGATATTTAAATGCCATCGGACATTGTGCACACATATAGGTATTTTCGCCGAGATGGGTGCGCAAATGTTTATTTAAATCATTACTTTGGGCATAGGCTTTGTCGCAATATTTACCTGCAAAAAGAGGGATGAAAAAACAATTAAAAAAAAACATTTTATAAAATAGTGTTTTTTTCACGATTCCTAAAAATAAATTTTTACTATGCAGAATACCTACATTTGTATGGTTTTTCTCCCGTATGGGTACGACGATGACGATTGAGATTCATTAGACGTGGAAATCTAAAAACATATAAAACATTTTAAATATTTTCAATTAATATTATTTTAAATTCAATTTACTTACGCCATTGGACATTGATCACATTTATAGGGTTTCTCGCCCGAATGCAAAACCTTGACATGCTGATGCAGGGTGTCCACCCGTGAAAATCTAGCACCACATGTTGAGCAAACATGATTTTTACCCTGTTGATGTGACATCAGGTGTATATAACGATCTGAGGGGCATTTAAAACGTTTCGGACAATGTGGACAGCTGTAGGGTTTATCATCTCCATGACGTTGCATGTGTTGACGTAAATTACTCGGTCTATAGAATTTCTTGCCACACAATGTACACAAATAATTTAAATCTCCCGTATGGATGCGCATATGCTGTTTCATGGCGAATTTAAATGAAAATGCTAAAGGGGAAAAAGACAAAATTTAATTTTGGTATTGGAAACCTAACCCCAGACTTACATTTCTCACACAGCTCACATTGGAAATTCTTAATGCCCATATGCCGATTGGTGTGTATCTTCAAATGTTCCTCCACCACAAAAGTCCGATCACATTTATCACATTTATAGGGTACAATTTCTGGATGTTTTTTACTCATGTGCTGGGCCAAGCCACCGACATTTGTATATGCCGCTGGACAATAATTACAGATAAATGATTTATTCAATTGCTCTTTTTTCTCATCTAATTGTTTTGTTTTATTCCGATGTTGTTTACTATCTTCAGGGTGATGCTTCTCATTGTGTTTCATTAGCATAAATGGATATTTGAAACGATCATGACACACCATGCACACAAAACGATGGGCATCGGTGTGTTTTTTAAGATGACGTTCCATTTGTTTTTCAAAACGAAATGTAGCCTTACATTGTGGGCATGGATGTGACAGGGGTTTGGGTTTTCCATCATCATCATTTTCTGGGCATTTTTCTTCATGATCCGATTGTGAAAGATCCCTGGAAACATAACATAATTAAAGATTTTTCTAAAAATATATAAGAGAACATTAAATACCTGCTGCTCACATCAAAATTATCCCCTCCTATGTCTGTGGTGTCTTCGGAAATATTTTCCTGGGAAAGTCTGTTTTCATGTGCAGACTTTTTTAATTGCACCCGGTGTTTACTACGCCTGTGTTTTTGCAACAAATTTTCATTGGCAAATTTCTTGGAACAATAACTGCATTGGAATTTATCTTCACTAAGAGTACTACTGGGCCCACACTCCTTCTCTTCGTTATTCCTATGGCAATTAAATATTTGCTTAATTAAGTACAAATTACATTTAACTTTTATAAAATACTATGGATCATTTTTGTCACCCTCTACATAACCTTATTCAATTTATTTACCTTCCAAAAGTCTTTATGATGGCTCCCTCAATTTGATTATATTTTTCATTTATAGACTTTTGTAATTTCCTTAACGAGCTGAGTGGTAAATTCTCCTCTTCATTGTCGCTGTAATTTTCCTCTTCCAAAGTTTCAATATAGGATATTAAATCTTCCTCCTGATGATCACCAATGTAACCGGAAATCTAAAAATACACAAATAATCTGTTACATCTTCAAAATCTACAACTTATTTTGCTGGATAACTTACCTCTATTTCCTTATTATTATCTGCTTCCTCTTCCCTCTGCACAACAAAAGTATCAACGGAATTCTCTTTGACTTTCGACACCACAACTGCGGCGGACCACGTTTTATAAAGCCTATCATTTGTGGCCAAGCAAACACTTTGGAATTTAAATGCTTTCTCTAATTGATCCATACAAGAGTTACATATTTCCTGTGGTAACGGAAACTCTTGTTGTTGTTGTAATTGTGGAGCCATTATTTTGTCGAGCATTTCTTCAATGGTCACATTACTTTCTCCATGTTTCTCTTGGGTATTGAACATGCCTTTCTTTTTGCACATGCATGCCCTACATATTCTACCATATAGTTCATGTAAATGCATAATAAATTAATTAATTATTTTACAAAAAATATATATTAATAATAAACAACTCCACCGTAGAAAAGGATACGGAAACCGTATGTAATAATTTTTTGCAAAACGAATTGTTTAGAATGAGCGTAGAATGAGAGAAACGACTTTAAAGGCATTTCATTCACTTTGAAATGATAGCAAACAAAATAAACATATGTAGGTTAATTTAAATGTTTATTAATAAAAATGTTTATTAATAAAAATAATTTATTAAAATTTGTTTTGTTTATTAAAAAAATATTAGTGGTTTCACTTTAAATGCGATAGCAATTAATTTTAATGTGTAAAGAAAAAAGAAAAAGAATGAACGAAAAAAATGTTTTTAATGTAAATCACGTTGAATTGATGCTTCGTTGCTTGCGTTCAAGGGATCTATAGATCGAATTATGAAATGTTATTTAAATAAAAAAAAACTTCTCAGAATCCTCAGTTTATATGTTAGGATTCTTCCTTCATCTCAGAAAAAATTGCCCTGAAACTGTAAAATTCATATTTAGTATTTGTTGAGGAAAAATGCAACTCTGTGTGGTATCTATTTATGTGGTAATTATTTGAAAAAAATTCCGAAAAATTCTTTAAATTTAAAGAAAAATGAATAAAATATAAAGACCATTTTAAGAATCGAGTGGTGGCTGTAATTTGAAATTCTAGGCTCTTATTGGGCAAACAACTTTTCCTCAGTTTATAGATCCCGACAATTGTTTAGTTGTAAAATAATTTCTATGTCAGGATTCTTTTTCCACCTCTGAAAAAAGCACCTGAAAGCTGTAAAATATTTAGAATTTTTTGAAGAAAAATGAAAAACTTTTGTTTTTGTCTCGACCTTCTGTCAAATTTTTCCTTATAATATTTCACATGGTTGGCAACATTGCACATCGAATTCAAGTAGAAATTACCCACTTTGACAGTTAATCGAGACATCAGCTGCTCTAAATGGCCTACCTATTTATTGTGCCATAGCGTCCATATAAAGTTCTCTACCTGACGGGCAATTTACAGTGTGGCCCAATGTCTTGACATAGCCCTCATATAAAAGTCCTAATTAGAATCTATTAATAAGGTCACCCAGCTAGCGAAATTCAGCTGTTTTTTGTGAAAACTAATGTCAAAAACTTGGTCTTTGTTTACGTTTTCATAATGGAAGTCAACACACAGCAATAAATTTTGACAGCAAACTTGAGAGGCAACTGACATCTAGCTGATCTCCCTGGAGGACTTTATTAATAGGCCTTGGTCCCAACTATTTACATATTTTGAATATCTTGGTTCCGTCCAGCTGAAAAAAGATAATGAAACGAATAAAAATGTTTTTTTTTTTATAAATTTTTCAATATTAAATTTTGTAATTAAAAAAACTCATGATTTTTATTATATATTTAAATGTTAATGTACATAATTATTTCATTCTTAATCCAAAATACTATTCCAAATTTTCATCAGGATGTACGCGTTGTACATGCCGCCTTAAATTAGCCACGGTATTAAAACTGAAAAAAAAAACGAAAACAAAAATCAATACCAAATGCCAGTTATTTTATAAAATTAATTTTTTACTTACGATATTTCACAAAAATCACACGAATGATGAATTTTATTACCCACATGCAAACGTTTATGTTGTTCCAGACTATATGATCGGGCGAAGCGTATACCACATATATCGCATGTATAATTCTTGGCACCCTGATGCGTTGCCAGGTGTTTCGTTAAATCGGTGCGACATTTAAAACGTCGCGGACAGCTGGTACATGCATATCGCTTGACATTCGAGTGTCGTTCCATGTGCTGGCGCAAATTACCGCCACATTTAAATGTTTTACCACATTGTGGACAGAGATAAGGGGATTCACCACTGTGCGTACGCATGTGCTCCTTCAGTAAACTTTCAAAGGGAAATTCTTTTTGGCAAATTTCACAATTAAATTCACGATGTGTCTTCAAATGTTCCATAAGTTTCGAGTGCAGCACGAATGAACGTTCACATTGATGACAGAAAAATTTCTCCTCCGGATGTTTGTTACGTAAATGTTCGATTAGAGTTTTTTCCGACAAAAATTTACGATTACAATAGTTACAGTCGATTTTTTCATTTACACTGATATTGTGTGTGGAATGTAGACGACGATGACCGGATAGGGCAGTTAACTTTTCAAAACGCCTAGGGCAATCGGGACATTTATAACCACCTGGAGGTGGTTTTTCATTGTCGGGATCTTTTGATTGATGATTTTCTTTGTGAATTTTTAGATAACTTGCGGTGGAAAAGCGTGCCTTACATATATCACATTCGTGTTTTTTATGTGTGGCATGTACACGACTGTGACGCTGAAGGCGTGATATGCGATCGTAGACTTTGCCACACACGTCACAGGTATAACGCCAATTGCGTCGATTTTTGTCATTTGCTCTGTAAAATATTTTAATTATTTTTTACTATTATTTTAAAAAGTGTGTGTTATTTTAAATGTCCCTACTTTTCAACAACCGGTTCTCCTTCTTCTTCCATAGAATTGTTTTGTCCAGCTTCGAGTTTTTGTTTTTTTGTGGCTGGATATCCATCATCTTCGTCCTCATCATCATCGTCATCACTGTAAAATGAAATAAGCAATTTAATTTAAATTTTAGATTACTACTCTGGTCCTGAATCTGCAAGATTTTTGTTTAAATTTTCCGATTTTTTTATAAATTAAAAAAAAATCCATTTCATGTGTATTTTGCCCTGTATTGAAGATATTCATTATTAAACTTACTTCAATTCAGACCAATTATTAATTTCCATCTCCTCTTCCTGTTGCTGCTGCTGTTGTTGCTGGGTGGCTTCATCTTCAGCCTCAACTGTATCTTTTTCGATTTGTTCCTCTTCTATTGTCTCTGCTATTAATTCATGTATATCCACCTCGATTTCATCTTCATTTACCAATTCTCCTTCCAGGCTATTGACATTATTATCATCAACTTCTTCTGAGGCGGTAGTAGTGTTCGAGTTGTGCTCATCAACTGCCGCATGTTCTTGCATATGAGCTTGGTAAATTTGTTCATTGACAAATTTTCGTTTACAAATGTCACAATTAATAAAAGTACGGACTTTTGACTTGGAGCAGCTATGAGATTCTAAACTCGTCAAACTATCAAACTTCTCACTACAATTTGTGCAGAAATGTTTAATGTTCGATCTGAAACGAATTTAAAGAAATCAAATGGATTTTTTTTGCATGCAGCCGCTGTTGGAACTTACATTGGAGGTGTATCCGTGGCCAAGACATCTATATACTCTTCTTCCTTCGCAATACTAAAAGAAAAAATATACAAATTTCTATTACAATTCATAATTTAGATTTTCAATTTAATTACTTACATTGTTTCCATTTTCTCCACCACAATCTCCTGCTCCCCCTCCACCTGATCTCGACTATGACCATTATCCTCATATACAATTTCAATTTTCATATCCTCTTTATCAACCTCCACCTTTTCTTCGACCACGGCTTCGGTTGTCACCACTGTTTCTATAACCACCTGCGGTGTTTCGATATTCTCCTCCGACGTTGTAACCAAATTCCTTAGCTGATTGTCAGCATCTATACACAACTGTTGAAATCGATAGCATTGCAACAATTTCTCCAAACATTCCTCACATATGAATTGCGATATCTCCGATTGTCTTTCGGCTTCCATAATACGTATTTGTGGCACAATTATATTAATCATTTCCATAATGCTCATACACTCATCGATATAATCGCATATTTGATAATAACGACTTTCTGGATCCAGGCAGGTTCGGCAAATTGTTATATGTTCAGACATTTTGGAAAAGCAAGCTGTGGAAAAGATGCCTCAAAGAGCTTCTCCTATTGCAAACAAAACAGTAAACAGATGTTATAGGGTTTGCTAGATCGAGAGTTGAACAACAATGCTGTAGGCTAAACCAATAAAGGAATTTGTTTGCAACAAATGATAGGGCGCACAAAATCGATAATGAAACGAAAAGGTTATGAATGGGAATGAAACGAAATAACAGGGTAATTCATGATATTAAATAAAATTTCTATAATGAATAAATGATAGATTACGCATGAGAAACATGACCCAAGTGGAAAAGAAGCCTCAAAGAGCTCCTCCTAATGCAAACAAGACAGTAAACAGATGTTTTAGGGTTTGCTATATCGAAACTTGAACAACAATGTTGTAGGTTAAAGCAATAAATAGATTACCAACGGTAATGAAGGGGAATGAAACGAAATAACAGGGTAACTCATGATAATAAATAAATTTTCTATATTGGACTATTTAAATAACTGATAGATCACGAATGGAAACATAACCCCAAATGGGAGGGGGAAAATGAAAAAAAAAATGAACATATTTAATAAAAAATATATTTTTTAGTTAATTTATGTAATATTATATAGGAATAGAACAATTATAAGTACAAATATACAAGGTGAACCTTTTGAGGTAAACAACAAAAAGCAACTCTGAATGTAGAGACTTGTTTCGTCCAGACAAGACAGAAAATAATTGATTTTGTAGATGTAAGAAAATATAAAAACTTTTTAACTATTTCAGAAGTCCCTTGATCATTTTGAAAATATTAAAGAATTTTTAAAAATATCTCCAAAATCCCAGAAATAGGTGTGCCTTTGTGGGGTTGCTATAACTAAAAGTGGAATTATGTTGATCAGTTTTGGTAGGCAGTTTTGTTATCTTGTGAGGGTTTCTAATTACAAATTTCAGGAAATTTGACAGACAGGGAACACTTGGGAGGAGCTTGGCAAGGCAGGTGTGTTAATAAATATGAATAGCATCGGAAATATCTTAAAACAATCTTGAAAACTGGAGTACATCTGAGTGAGAGCTATACGAAAACATGGATTAATTTTAATAATTGTTGGTAGACAGTTATTATATGTTATGAAACTTATTATAAATATACTATATATTATTACATATTATTTATATATTATATATTATAAAACTCAATTCAAAATCCAACTTAAAATTACGTATAGCTCGTGTTTGAGTGTCTAGATTCCCATTTATTTTACTGATTTAATATTCTGCATAATATTTAGATTAGTTTTCTTTTAATTTGAACTAGTAATAGTTTATTGCACTTTATTGCACAGATTTTCTGCTGGCGACATTCTATTCAGCATTTTTTGCTATCGCAATCTAACAACATCTCAATATAATATATTACATACATATATGCGATGATAGCAATTTCAATACTTTGCATATTTTTCCAAAACAGATTATGGAACATTTTTTTTAACTATAAAAACTCATAGCATACAAACGAAATGTATTCAGTTCACTTGTGGTTTCAGCTGAATTAATTAAATCTTAAAATAAAAAAGAAATGAAATTCTTGGCTGTTGCAGTTTTGTTGTTTTTGGTGGCCCAGGTAAATCATATGATAATAATTATTATTATTCATTTTTATTTACAATAAAATTTTTAATTTCCTTTACAGTGCTATGGGGATGCCAATGAATGGAAACACGTAAGTTTGACCCTTCCCAACTCTTTTCGTCACTTATTCTATAAGAACAAAATACAATATGAAATGTTTTTCTTTACAGCAAAATCAAAGAAACTCCTGGGAACATCACAATTCAAATGCTGTTCAAACATTTAATAAGAAAATTTCCCAACGTATAGCTGGCTCCCAAACTATCAGTGAAAATCCCCAATACAAGGAGAGAATTATGCAAATTGCCGAAGAGAAATTGGAAAAATGTAAAACTGTCAGTGATAATGAGGATTATGATAGACACTGTGTTGGTCGTGCCATTGGTCAAATGATGCAATTCATTGGCCATTTGGAAAATAACCACAGACGCCATTCATCGTCACAAGAACGTCACAATCAATGGAATGATTCTTCGGAAAATTGAAAAGGAACCAAAAAAATGAAAGGAGGACAATGATAAATGAAATGAAGGAACGAATTTGATAAACTATATACTAGTTTCCCATAATTTTTATATATATGTTTTTATTTTTTTAATTCAAATAAATAAAATTTTTATAAAAACTATTTTTTTAATTTTATTAGAATGTAGAATAATTACAATTAATAATTACGTTCCTGATATATTTTTTTGTCGCTGCTTCTCTAAATAATGTGCTAAAATATATTGAGCAAAACATGGAAAGTTTCAAATTTATTTTGGATTAGAGGGAGGGTTGATGTGATGCTGGTAAGCAAAAAAATTAACCCAAGCTTTGAACAGAGTTCCTCCGTAGGAAAGGAACCTCTCATCTCTGCTGCAGCTTCGGGTGATTAATGAAATTCTTCACTGGTGCGGTCGTGTATTCCAACCCTGTTGCATTTATTATTTCGAAGGAAAATAGTTAACAGATATACACCGCAGGGAAGAACACTCTCACCTCTGCTCCAGCCTTCATTAATGAAATTCTTCACTGACAAGGTGTGCAATGAGGCCCAAGAAATAAGAATATGGCGGCCCTCAAACTATGAAGATTCCTTATTATATGCCCTCAATTTTCAGTTTTCAAGATATAAATCCATGAATAACAATAATGCAACTCTGTAGGTAGTGGCTTCTAACGTAAAATATAAAAAAATGTGTTTATTTGACATTTTTCAACACACGAGATTTACACTCAGGGCTAAGAAAGTACTGGGTCTTGAGCTTACCTACAAGTTCGATAGCCACGGTAGTGTTTTCTAAGCTGAAATCTTCGCGATTCGCGATAAAAAGTTCGGATGCAGAGATTGTTGAACCGTTGACTATCTTTGTGGATAGTCAGGCGTCTTTTAAAGCATTCAAATCCTGTAACATCAAGTCTGAGGTTGTCCTCGAATGTAGAGCAGTTTTGGAAACACTAACAGCTATCGACTGTGCTGGGTATCAGGACACTGTGACATCATAGGTAATGAAAAAGCAGACGAACTGGCTACACCAAGATCTCAATCCATAAATCTAGCAATCGATGACTCAATCAAACCACCCATCTGTCACCTTTTCCCAAACATTGAGACGTTCTTCGACCAAAGATCCAATCAACTTTGGCACAACAAACCTAGGTGCAATATGTCAAGATCTATCTGGCCGTCTCACTGTTGAACCTGAGCAAAGCAGAAATAAGAGTAATGACAGGAATCATTACTGGTCATTACAATATCAGGGCCTTTACCAGTAAGTGGGACCATGATGTTATCGATTACTGCAGACTCTGTGATGACGAGGAGGAGACGGAGACAATTGACTATCTCCTGTGTCGCTGTTCAGTTCTGGTCTACAGATGGCACAGATTAGTGGGTGCTCACTTTCCACCGAGTCTTAGTTTCTTCCCAACAACTGAAACCTAAAGTGGTTGGGAAAGTGCAACCTTGACACGTAATATATCTCCTGTCCGATATCTATAGTCATCGATACTATTTCAAACTTACCTTGTTACATTTTTCTGTAAGCTTCTCATCTCTCTAGGGGGATAACTTCTCTCCCCTATAGATCTCTCCCTATCTCTTTCTATTCGTGGTTGATCACAATGGACCTGACGGTCTCAGAATGCTACAGCCACATAAGTGACTGCACATCCCCAAACCTAACCTAGCCTTGATCATGTTTTTAAATAGATGACTTTGATGACAGATCTATTTCTATAGATAACAGATAGAGGACATAAATTTTATAGATGACAGACAGTTAAAAGAGCTTATTGTCCTCCAAAAAAAGGACGTATGGTCAACTTACCTAACCTCAAACCTATCTTCTCGATAAACATTCTCTCTTTCCGCATTCGATTTCCCTTTTTGTCTTCTCCTGAATGGTCTCTGGGTAAGGCGTAACCTAACCTATTCCTCTAAAAATATATATTTTTAATTCTGGCCGAGTTTTTATAAATATAGATGACAACGATGACAAATAATAGAATAGAAATTTGGCATAGCGTACTGAATTGAGTGTGTAATCGTGTGTGCTAAGTTTCGCGAAAATCGAATCAGCATAAATATTAGTTCCATAAAACCAGATTTCAGATTTAATTTCAATATTTTTAACTTATATTTTCTTAATTCATAATCTGATTTGGAATATTTTTTTTTTTTCAAAAAAAAAAAATTGCTTTGAAAATTCTTAAAAAATATATAAAATTAAATTAATAATTAATAAGCCTAAAACTATGAATACTCTCTCTTTTTTTGAAAAATATCTTCTTAACCTAACAACCACCAACCATATCGATGGCAGGAGATGATGTATGATGATTGGAATTTGTTATGGATAAAAGTAATTGATTGCTATTTGTATGGAGATTTGCATTGGATTGATGGTGAGATTGTTGTTGCTGGTGTTGTTGTTGTTCTTCTCCTTCTCCTCTTCCCAATAAATCATGTTGTATTTGTTGTTCAAATTGTTTTTGTTCGTTATGTTGAGCTTCTTCTTCTTGTTTTCCCTGGGGATCATTACAGCTTTCTTGTGTCGTCTGCTGTATTCGTAATTGTTGAGAATTTTTATAATGTTCCGATATATGTTGACGTAATTCCGATTGATATTTAAATGCCATGGGACATTCGGTGCACATATAGGTATTTTCACCCACATGAGTTCTCAGATGTTTGGTTAGGTCACCACTCTCGGCATAGGCACGATCACAGTATTTACATTTATAGGGTTTCTCACCGGTATGGGTGCGCATGTGTCGCCTCAGATGATAGATTATGGCAAAACTATAATATAAAAATAATTATTTTTATACAAAAAAGTATATCCTCCCCCTCCCTCCCAATAACTTACGTCATATTACATTGATCACATTTAAATGGCCTCTCA